GTTGTCATCAGTACTTTTTAAACACAAACCACTTTTGTTTTTAAACTGCTCTAATAGTTCGAACAGACTGCTTCTAAGTTCCAAGCTGCTGTCTAATTAACATAAAATGAATTCTGAGCTTTTCTTCGTGTGTTTTGTGCATCACCTAACACGGTCCTTTAGTAAACAACCGCAGTCATACTGGCCTAATATTTAACTCTGATAACCGGGCCTAATTAAACAACACTAGACAACTGTGGTTTTTACATAAACAGTGGTACGTCTTAGCTTTCAGCCCTGCATACAAATGCTGTGAATTCTCCTTGTTGAAAGGAAGGCTTTTTGTGTTTATTGTGGCTGCCTATTGATATCAAAGAAAGAAAAGAATTGCATTTATGTAGCACCTCTCCCAATTTCAGGATCTCCCAAGGTGTTTCGCAAACAGTAAAATACTTTTGAGGTGTAGCCATGTTGTAAGGTAGGACATATGGTAGCCGACTATCATGTGAATACATCCCTGTTCAAATTGAATATAGTAACTGGGAGACTTTTTGCTTTGTCCCTTTCATATTTTATGTCTTATTCTGCCATAGCCCACACCCACATTAATGGTTTTTGTCTTACCACAAACAGGTTCCCTCAGCACCTCACAAAAAGCATGGTCTTTCTACTAAACATGGACTTAGTCAGGAGGTTGGCGCAGACTGTTCAGCCGCAGGAGTATCACAGCTATGCTCTTTCCCATGCAGCAGGCGTCAGAGAGGAATTTGGAGTTTTTCTTCAGAACCCGTGTTAGAGACAGGACTGGGCGTATGACTGAATTGGCATAACTGTTTTGCAGCAAATATGTATTTAGCCAGCAAACAGTCTACAGTGTCTAATTAGTAAAATAGAGCTCACTGCTGATGAAAACAATGATTTCTCCAGTAAAGCACAGTGTTATGAGCCACACCAGCCCCCCTCAAAATATATAAAGAAAGTAGCCTAGACCCAAACACTTTCTTATTTTAAAGGTAAATGTGAGGTGCTGTGTTCCGGATGCAAATTGATTGGTCAAACTACTTGAAATTAACCAAAACACAATTTATTCAAACCCGATAGTTAAAATACAACCAAAGATAGAGGAATAACTTAATTCTATTGGAAAACTTAACAGAATAATAGACACAATAACTATTACTAATTAACTGTTCCAATATAGTAACATCCCATAAACACACTATTGGCAACAGCAAAGTCAATAAAACAAATTGTCTCACATGCAGTTCTCCAATCCAGGAGGAAAGAACATCAAAAGACAATTCTGAGAGAGAGAGAGAGAATTCCAGTTTTCAGCTGTAGCAAAGAGAGATGTGGCAGCCTTTCACAACTCCAGCAGCTTTTGCTCCCGAAAACCCAGGAAACTAAAATACTTGGTTCTGTGGGTGAGAGCTTGACCCCATCCATTCAGGCTGCATCTATTGTTGCAACTTTAAAGAAAAACACCCAAGGCTTCACAAGTTATTTATTTTCTCATAGACTGCTTGGTACCTCTGCCTTAAAACATCTCTTCAAAAAAAAAGCGCAAAATAACCATTTAAAGCCATCGCATTGTCATAGCAGTGATTGGAGGATAGTTATCTTAGATCCTTGTAAGATGAGCATGCATGCAACAGGGCAGAAATCTAAAAGGTACAATTAGGCTGCTAGCCTGTTGTCCCCTCTAAGATACCTCACATGCTTTGTGTTGTAAAATAAAATAAAAACGGTACTGTGCATTTAATTGAATGGACTGCACACAACAAAAAAATTAGAATATTGATAATTATACAGCACATGCGGTGTAAATAAACTCAGTCCCAGTCACTTATAGCAGCACAATCTCTGAGCACAATTGGCAAGAATTAGTCAAACACTTCCACTCTGGCTGTGAGTAGTGGTGTCATTGTAGGCATCGTTTAAGACAAGGTCCCCATTACTGACTGGAGTCCCCTAATACTGTAGTCAGGGCTTGAAATGTCCCGGTTTATACATTTCAGTTTTGCACACCTCATTTGTGGAATTTATTAACTGAGCCACTTGGGGAAGCTGCGATCACTGTTCTGAGAATTGTTAAATGTAAAACAAGCAGAATTGTCAGTCTAAGGACTGCAGTGTTCATGTGGCATACGAGGGACTTCACTATCACTTCTAAAAGGGAAGGGAGTGGGTATAGAAATTGCCCGATAGTTGCAACATAGTGCTCTTTATGTTGAAGAAATAGTTTCCAACTCAGTAATTGCACGACTGTCGCTGGCCTCGACTAATCTGTTGCTGAAATCCTCATCCATTCCTTCATTATCTGTGGAGTAATGCATTCCTGGCTGACCTCCCACATTTCACCCTCCTTGAAATTGTTAATCACAATTCTGTTGCTGGTTATTACTTACGTCCAGTCCCATTCACCAGTCACCCAGTCAAGCAACATCCTGATTTTAACGTTCTAAGCATTGGTTTCAAATTGCCCTATAACCTTGCATCTCCCAATCTCTGTAATTCCCTTCAGCCCCCACAATTCTCCAAGGTGCCTGTACTCCTCGAATTATGGCCTCTTCAACATCTTGGATTTTTAATTATTCCATTGTTGGTAGCTATGCCATCAGTTGCCTAGGCTTTAAGCACAGAAATCCCTACCTAAACCTCTCCTCATCTCTCATTTTCCTTCTTTAATATCACCTATCTCTCTGACCAAGCTTTTGTGTATTTGTCATAATACCTTATTACAGCTTGGTGTCAGGTGATGCTGTACGTCACACCTGCAAAACAGTCTTTGAAAGTTTTATTCCATTTCTGGCACCATATAAATACAAATCACTATTGTTTGTTGTTGTTATGCCTGTGAAGGAGATTGGAGAAAAGTTAAACTACATGAACAAACTAGAGGCTTGCTTGGTCACTTCAATAGGATACGACCCTCATAGTATAACTTTTATCAAGTACCAAATGTGTCCAATCTAGAGCCATGCTTTTTGTTGGACAATGCAGAATCCCTAACAATTCAAGCGGTGTTTAATTTTTGGGGGAAGGTGTGTGATTTGCCTGTACTTGGGGTCCTATGAAGAAGAGCTGCAAGCTGTCCCAATGCACTGTTACTGTAATGCACATCCCGACCTTGTGCTGTGGTGGGGTTTCCAGGTTTGTTTCCCATTAACATTGAACCTGGGATTGAGAGCGACAGTGTTTAAGGAGACAGCCAGTCTGCAAGTGAAACATTTTGTACTGTTGATTTTAACATAGCTTTTCATATCTGAGTTCTTGCTGTGAAGCAGTGACCTTCGACTCATCCAGAACGTTGTGTGCATAGCAATTTTTTTTTTCCCTTTTGAGGGGGAAAGCCTGTTTTCCTACATTACTGACTTTGTAGGAACTTGCTCATCTCAGCCATTGACACTGACCCGTCATCTGTAATCTGACATTTGTAGCCCCGGTTAAATTGCCTACTGCAGGGAAACCTGTTCAGTAAAGGAGTTTAAATAAGAAATCATAAAGTAATTTCTTTAACACCTCAGGAGATCCTCAACCATTTTATAAACCAAAAAGTACTTTTGAAGTTTTTGTAACTGATGTAACACAGGGGAGAAAAAACAGGCAAATTGTACACAAGCTGCAAGGTCCTCCATTGTAGTGCTTCTGATGAAGGGTCACCAGATCCGAAATGTTAACTCGGTTTTTTGTCCACAGATGGTGCCAGACCTGCTGAGTTGCTCCAGTGATTTCTGTGTTTGTAGCCTATAAATAGTGTTGCATTCTTGGTGATGTTGGTTGAATGATAAATACCAACTCATATACCGAGGTGAACTCCCCCAGTTCTAATGATGCTGGAAGATAGCACCTCACGCAGTAGAGTACTCCCTGTACTGCTTAGATTTTATACACAAGTCCTTGAGCAGAGCTCTAACCAACAACCTTCTGATTCCAAAGCAAGGGCACTACCACTGAATCAAGGCTTGTACTTGTGTGTGGTCTGTCTGTATCAGATGGCTCCTTGTACATTTTGTTTTTCAACTGATCAACAAGGGCTTAGCTGCATGATGATTCCCATACATCAATGTAAACTGTATGTTACAGTAATGTTCGACGACAGGAGAAGTTTAGATTCTGACTATGTTGTGCTTCAGCATGCAGCTTTGCCACAGGCATTTGTGGATTCTTCAGATCTTCCCCTTACCGTTTCATTAAATGTAAGGCATCTTGACCATTGCTGCTGGTTTGTGGTTTACACTGGAAAAAGGATGGAATTGCAGAGGTCAACTCCCTGATGCTCCTTGAACGATCCCAGAATCTGAACAAATAAAGATGCAGTTTGTGACTTATTCCATTACTCATAAGCCAGTGCCAGTGATGACTGTGTAACCAAAAACAAGCTGAGAAGGAAGACACTTCACTTGGGCTCAACAATGAGGGGGAAGAAAAATTTACAGATTTATAAATACAGATTACTGTGAGTTGTTTGCCGTATAGTATTTTTTTCTTCTCAATTTCCCAATTAAAAATGATTGCAGTTCCCCTTGATGTTTAAATATATGTGTATGCATGAATACAGTGTCTGATGTGACAGGTTTCTCAGAACTTACATTGGTGATTGGAATATTTGGGACAGAACTTGATCTCCCTAGCATTGTAACTGTGTCATCTCTCCGAGATATAACCTTGTCACGAACACTCTCAAATCACAGTCCAGCACACGCTGTGAATTCGGTGTTGGATTTAAGGACAGTGATGGGAACTGGCACTGTTTTTAAGTCCAGCCTCATTTCAATCCATTATCTCAGACGGTGGTTTTGAAAATACATTGCAAAGGTGGGAGGTTTAATGCTGCAAAAATCTACCGTAAGAGTAAATGTTATGCTGCTTGCTTTTGCTGTGTTTTGAATTGAATCGAGCGTATGTAGGACGATTTTTTAAAAAAATATATTGTAGAATGGTTAATACTGTGGACAATAAAATAGCAGATCCTGACTGTACTGTCTCTCACCCCCTTCCCCTCCCTCTCCCCACATCAGGTGATGCCTACCCCGGTGGCTCAACTCCTTTTCTTGGGGGTTTCGTCGCCAGTGGCCTAGGGACCTCGACTGCACCTCATGGAACCCCTGCTCCTTTGCCCTCTGACCCTTCCTTCCGTGGACCCACCCCCACAAATATCCAGATGGCACAGCTCTGGGTCGCGCACCCTCCTGAAGGTAATAAAACAAAACAATCATTCTCAACCGCACTCACTGCTTGGGGTTTTACAGGGCAATACTAAGTCTGCTGGCACCTAGGATCAGCAACAGGTTTAGGGTTCAGCCATTACATGTGTTGCAAAGTTTTTTTTTGTTGGAATGAAGTAGGAAAGCAGTAATATCGCAGGAACTTGGATGTAAATTCTCCCACTCAGTTCATCTGGAAGCAGTTGTTGCTTGACAGGCCACGGTTGTTTGCAACTCTGTTTACTCACTAACACACAATCGCCTACTGTTATCCAATCGCCTGGTAAATAAAGTGACGTTGTTGGTTTTGCAATCCTGGTGTTCCATTAACTGACAGGGAGCTGTGTGTTTGTGTGTGTGTGTGTGTGTTCGCTTCCTCTGCTGTTTGACTCTTAACTGCACAGCAAATTGTGATGTTTCCAATTTTCTCAAATGTGACTTTTGTTCAATGTTTGTGATCATATCCTCACTTTCTTTCTATTGCTGCTGAGAGGAGGAACCCGAGAAGCTGGGATTGTTCTCCTTTGAGCAGAGAAGGTTAAGGGGTGACTTAAGTGAAGCGTTCAAAAGTGTGGGAAGGTTTTGGGAATTCAATTTAATATCTTTGTGAAAAATGTTAGCGAGTTGGAGTGTGGGGGAAGAGATGATTTGATATACGTTGCAATTTTTGTTATCACCTGAGGTGCACTGTATGAAAGGGTTGTTGCCTGTTCTCTGAACACAATGAACTGGGGTTCACCTTCGATTCTGAGGGAAGGAGGTTGGCAAAAGAATTTGGGTGGCACCTTTCAAAAAGGGATTGGATAAAGACTGGAAAAGGGTAGCGGGCGGAAAGTAAAGGAGAACTGTGGCGAAAGAACATTGGTGTGGAACAAATTAAAACGTCCGTTCAAAGAGTCAACAAAGGTGGGCTGGGTTGAATGGCCTTATTCAGCAATGTGAAATTCTCTGAAAAGACAAAGCAATAGGAAGAGGCTGCATCTGATAAACTTATTAGGATTAGAATCCGAACCTTGAAAAAGGCAGAATTAGTAGTTTTCTGCATTTTTCCAAACAGAACTAGGGTAAAACTTTCCCATACCAAAACCTGAATTGTGTGCACAGCTCTACCACTACGGGCATCCATGGAAAGGAAGACTGGTTGAGAAAGGAACTAAGTCAGCATCACCGTTATCCCAGTTTGGCTGTTTTTCCCAATATTACTATTGTTGCCAGTTTTAAGAGATTTGTTCCCCAGCCAGCCTCCAGTCCATTAGAGGTGACTCATCATCTCATGTTACCTTTCCCATTATAAAGCATTGACCGCCTATTGAGGGCTGTCCTAAAGTCTCCAGGAATTCAAGATTAATCCACTCACTGCTATGAGTAACGCAGGAGAAAAACCACAGGGACATTAAAAATATTTATTTTAATAATTTCCTTTGAACACAGTGGTTTATCAGTTCAAGTATTTGAGTTGACGTAAAGACTTTGACTGGGTTGGGTGGTTGGAGGTGAGACCTCCGGCGATGACACCTCCAGGAATGTCTCCAGCCAGACCTGGTGAACTTGTCATTTCTGCCTATAACTGAGCAAAGATCCACCGGATCGCTCTGATCCCACTACCCAGGCAGGATTGTTATAAATATGCGATTATACCTGTAAATCAACCCTACCATTGTTATGTGGAGGAGGAGGAGGAGGCTGCTAATTTAAGCTGTGATTTGCTCTGCATGATGTAACCTATGTGCGTCACTAAATGCATGTTTTCTAAAGATTGCCACATTTTGCAGAACACTTTTTAATATGGTGTACATGCAGTGAATGGTAAAAGCCGCTGGAAGGCCCCCTGGCTGTGATCTATATAAAATCCTGTTGCAGTAATTGGCACAATATACTTCCATAATTTCATTGTTCTCTTGTGCCAGTGCATTACCAGGCATCTGGTTTATAATCTATCGCCTTGGCCAAGCTGTTAGTCACCCTGTGCCAACGTCCCCGTCTCCTTGGGTTCAGCACGGATTCCCTTTGTCCCAATATATTCCTGTGAACAGACCTGCAACACTTTATGTCAGGGAAGCTGCAGAAATGCAAGTTGTTGTAGTTTTGGGAATTCTATTGGGAGAGAAAGAGAACGACAAGTCAGCTCATCTGAGTACTTCACTGATCAGCACAATTCAGACATTCCATTTGAAGCAGATCGATTGCGCCCAGCGACGAAACTCAACCCCAGAAGCAAAGTAAAACTTTTCCTTCAGTTTATTTCCTTTAGGTTGTTCCTGACTCGTTTAGGCCTTCATTGCTCCCAAATCCATCTGTCTTTCCCTGCTTTAAGCCTGTTGTTTCTGCTTTCTATGCTTATTTCAGTTCAAGCGATTGGAGTAGCACTGAGATAAGTGTCAGCAGGAGAACAGATCTATGAGGATGCACATCTAATATAATAAATCAGATTTACGGTTCAGTTTACATAAAAGGAAAAACGTTATTGCTCACCATATATCCTGACAGTCACAGAAGGCTCCTAGTATCTAGCGAGCGCAGGTTGATGCTACCTCTTCGATAACAATCGGGCATGGACAATATCACTGAAGAGAGGTGTAGAGTGGAAGGCCCACCAGGAAGCTCACCCTCCCTTGCACCAGATGGCTGAAGATCAGAAGGAGAGCTTTCGAATTTGGGACATTCAAGTCCAATGGCTCATGCCTTCAATCCTAAAAACTTGATGTCCTTCTCGTTGGTGAATGACTTGGGTTTGGAACATACTGCCAAAGAAACCTTTGTACATACCAGTGCCAAGGATACATCAGTGATGGAGGGAGTAGGTGCTAAATCCAGTAGATGGGAGCCAATCAAACATTCTGTCCTGGATGGTGTTGAGTAGCTGGGGGTTATTGCATCTACACCTGGCGAGAAAAAACAAAGCAATCCCATCGCACTCTAGATTTGTGCCTTGTCAGTCAAAGACATAGATACTGGGGACTCAGGAGGTTGCCACTATGCAGAAATCCCAACCTCTGATCTCACCAAATAATAGGCACAGGGAAAATGATTATTGCATTGGTTGGGAGACGAACTCTCAGGACTGTAATCACTATTAATCCAGTAAGACATTCAGGAGAAACTTCCTTATCTGGAGTGTCAAAGTCATTGTACAGGAGTGGCTGAGGTGCATAGTATGGATGCACTTCAGAAGAAGCTAGATAAACTCACAAAGGCCAAAGAATGTGCTGATACAGTGAGACAGAGAGGTGAGAGGAGGTTTGTATGAAGCACAAACACCAGTATTGACCTATTGGACCGACTTTCCTGTTTTTGGGAACGATTTTGTTTAAATCACTGCATGGGTGCAAAATTTAATTCACTGTCACCCACCACCCCCCCCCACCCACCACACACACACACACACACACACACACACACACACACACACACACACACACACACACAACCCCCCCTTGAATACCCTTGATAAAGCAGCGTTTGCACCTTTTCGTACCTCATAGTGCACAGACAGAATCTGCACTGCTTTGACAGCAACCTCTCCCTTTGTGGCCAAGGCTGAATTTAAGTGCCGCCGGATCACTTATTTTTACAAAAAGTCTGAATGTGAATCCGCCGCACCAGCCAATCCGATCAGGAATGGAACAGGTTGAGAAAGAGGTGAGATGAGTCACTAAAGGGTTAATTAAACCATTTTAATCACTGCAAAGGTCTTCTTTTTGCAGCATTAGATCCATGTCCTCAAGCCAGCCCCAGTCTTTCCCTGCTTTGTTGAGTTTACCATAAAACCTAGGTGTGGTTGGCAGACAGTGAATCAGACTTAATTCAGGCCAGGCTTTCTGTTCTTCAGCAGTGACTCATGCACTTATTGTAACGAATCCCATTTCTCTGTTCAAATACAAGCCATCTATCTGTGAAGCAATCTGAAATGGAATTAACCCCTTCATGCATGCACCGCAGAGTGCAGGATCCCACTTGAATTGCTGTGTTCATGGTTCCACCAATTTTGTTGTATTTAAGTACTGAGCAGAAATTCTGGATACTCCTGGTTTATGATGTTGTTAGTGTTACCGCAACAACATGCTGATTTTTTGCTGGATTACTATTAATAACATTATAAAACAAATTATGGTTTATACCAGTGATTTTAAATTTAGTAGGTGGTTGCTTAATTATACATTTGGGTAATTAGACCTCCATTGATTCTGAAACTCTGATTCTTACTTCTGAAGAGAGAGTATTTGAAAGGAGCAGGATTACTGAACCTGACCAGGTCTGCTGAGGGACTTGTGTCAGGCTATAATTTAGAATTTCTAGGGCTGTACTCGGTTACACAATCAGATGATTAGTATATTCAGAAAACAGAGCTCTTTGACAGGCTTCCGGTGAGTCACTATGAGCCCAGTTATCGTGGTGCATGCACTTGCCTTTTGTCTATCTGGGGCCTATTTTACAGTTCACCCAGAGGCAGGATGGTGCCAGATGAACAAACCTAGAAACAGAGCTTGCATCTGTGCTTTTCATTAACTTGGCAGTCTCCATTTACGTTGGCTGAAAACTCAGCTAGGTACACCAAGTGGGGCTCACTCAATCTGAATCTAATATATTCCTGTGAACATATTAAAGACTGCTTGTTGCATTTTATAGTGGAAACTATCTGAGGAACACAGTAGTGCCCTGGCATAGACCTGAATTTTATTTAATGTCTTACTGAAAAAATATGATGCGAGACTGTAAGGATACCAGCTTCTTTTCCATTGCACAGCTCATTTCCCAGAGATGCTGACTCATTCTGGAGTATGTTTTCATCAAGAGCTTCCCTTATCCAATAGCTCATCCACGTTGGCAATGTCAACATAGCTGTGCCCCTGTGGTGGCAGCCCAGCTCAACCTGATTTGGTCATTGCCTGCCATTCAGAGTGTTGTTCCAGCAGAAAGCAATGGGCAGTTATCAGGAAACCACGTCCTCTGTGAGACACACATCTTCCTTGTCCATTTTTGTCTCAAAGCGG